AATTAGGGTGCCACTTTCTGATGCATTGGATATTTTCAAGGTGGCAACAGTTGATGGAGGTATATGGATCTAAGTTGCCCATGTCGACCGGTAGGCACTTGGAGGGCCGGAGACCAACGACCAAACACAACAGATGAATAAAATGCTCCAAGAAGTGTTGCGCATGTACATTAGGCCAGACGAGATCAATTGGGACGAGCATCCTCCCAAAGTGAAGTTTGCGTATCACAATTCAGTGCATCTGTCTACTGTATGCACCCGGAACGAACTGCACAGGCGTTTGCGGCCCCGACGTCCAATAATCCAATTGACTACCTGAATCTGGATCAGACTTAAAGATTGGCACCAGGTACGAGGGAATTCAAGTGTGTTATGTAATACGGGAAAGAAGTAGAGCCGGTGAAGAAGAACATCCTTAAACCAACAGTACTTCCTAGAGTCATGCCCATTAACGCGCCACAATTTTAGGAAACGTACGCGCTATTACAGGAGCGCCAAAATTCATCCGACTAGAAATGTTTCCACTCTTTTTTTTTTCCGAGGCCAATAGCTGGACCAAGTACGGGTGGTTTAAAGTCGAGCACTGACGCCCCTCACAGAAACTGTTACGTTCGTATGGGGGAAAATGGCAAGTATTAGATTTCAAGGGAGAGGCAGATAGACCATCCTGCATGATTGAGATTCCACCCCACCTGCACACATACTCGGTATTCCACGCGTCTAAGTTGCTTCCCTGTATTTCAAACCATGAGTTTCCCTCTCATTGCTCCATGATTCCAGGTTATGACGTAGATATAATAGATATGTCTCCCGTGCAGGCTGCAGTGGGAGACCACAGAGACAATACAACGAATGAATGTGTACGACCAGTAAGAATAGGATTTCTCTCGGAGGACCTCGATATTAGGCCGGCGAGAGTGACAGCATTCACGCTGCCCACATATTATTAGTGATGGTTCCAGGTTCCCGAAGTGTCCCAATCCTAGGCTGTCCTGGTAGGGTAGGCCATAGGGAATACAGGCCGCAGCTTCATAGGTCGGTAGGGTTTGGCACCAAAACGCTGTACGCCGGTAGAAGAGTGTCCGGTACCCAACAAGAAAAGTCATGTCCAGTCCAGCAGTCCCAAGTCCAATTTTTCAGCATGTCCCAGGAAAGTCCGGAAGCTACCAGACCGACAAGGTGCTTGCAGCAGACAGGCCGCTGCCGTCCGGTACCGGTCTGAAGAAGGCCAAGCAAAGTCAAGCTCATCACTTGTTTAATTTTAAAAGCGCTGCTGTTGCTTGTGCATTCAGGCAACTTGGGGAGTTTGTGCCTGAAGGAGGAAGGAGTGCGCATGACTCCGCATGAGCTCCATAGCTAGGGTAGAGGGAGATAGGGAGTGGGGCGGCCATAGCCGCCGAATGCGAAGCTTACGTGAGTGGCTCAGCCTGTGTCTAGCGTTACGATCTAGGGTAGAGACAGACTGTGAGGCAGAGCTAAGCTGCACAGAGAGAGAGAGAGAGAGAGAGAGAGAGAGAGAGAGAGAGAGAGAGAGAGAGAGAGAGAGAGAGAAGCCATAGTCGCCATCCAGTTGAGATTAGTCCTGAGAGAGTGTGTGTCGGTGCGGCAGAGGCACTGGAGATATAAACATTTCTTGCATAATAATGATAATTTTGGAGACTGCTTCCTCATGTGTTGATTTGATCTCACCTTTGGCTTTTCACATGTGAACTCTTGTGTGAATGTTCATCAAGAATGTTGGCAAGGTAAAACTTGATGAGTACTTGCTTCATTTTGAAAGTGCTGCAAGCCCCAAAATGACCTTTGGTTTCATTTTTGCACTTAGGGCGTGTAAAACACTTTCCCGCCATTTTGCATTACCGGCCCAGCCAGGGTGCACAAATGACAGGAAGAGTCATTTTGGGGCCTGTGACACCCTCTGCCCCATTTGGGGTGAAATGAATACAAAGGTTTCTCCATGGGGAGGTTTTTTAACTTTTACCTTCCTTCTTTTCTAGGGAGTTCATTCGTTCTCCATCTGGATTAAAACTCAAGTTTAGGCTTCGAACAAATGAACTTCCAAGAAAAGAAAGAACGGGCTACAGTATTACAGTACGGCTTCGCTAAGGATCCACTGTCTTCGTGGCCATGACTCAGGACATTTATGTCCATCTGACTATTGTTGGCTGAAGTGGCAGTGTCTTCTTGGCCATGACAGGACAGTTGTGTCCATCAGGGACTTCACTTTTATTTGCGCAGTGCATGCCGCTTCCAAACAAATAGGTCAGCAACGTACCTGTACTTCTGTGCGGGCACTGACACGGATGGCAAAAAGAAGGGGATAATCGCTAGAAAGGGCCTGCGTAAAAACCTTTTCGGTTTTGGGCGCCTGAAACTCGGCTGTTTGGTACTACCGGTCCAATGATTTCCATGTGGGGTACTACAGGCCCACACCTCGCTCCAAGGGCCTTACCGGATCTTGAATCTGGCACGCAACAGCCCTAGATTCATTTTGATGTAAAAGACGCCGACGATGGGGTGAAGTATCGAATGAGGGCCACGTACCGGATTTTGAAAAAGAAGGGCCCTACCGGTTCATGAATCTGGTGCAAGAACAGCACCAAATTCTTGAACCGGTAAAAACAGGCCCAGGGAGATGTGGCCACGGCGCCAAGGCGCCTATCACCCAGGCTGAAGAAGGTTTGGGCCGGTAGTACCAAACGGCCGAGTTTAGGGCGCCCAAAACCGGAAAGGTTTTGGTGTGGGCTCTTTCTACCAATTATCCCAAAAATAAGTGAAGCTCCTGATGCAACAAGTGGCGGTGTGGCACCCACCTCCTCTGACTCTGTGCTCAGTCTACAGTTCCGTTGTGCCACGCCGGAGCCACTTCCAGATGCAAAATCTTCTATTTTTCATTTTGTCTTTCTTTTCTGTTTTGCAAAATCAAATCTGAGTCAGGATCAGGGACACATTTTAGGTCTCCAAGACGATGCAAAGATAAGATAGTTGTCAATGATCCCCACGAACATTGATGATGACAGTCAATTTGTGCCCAATGCCCATTTCAGTTTTGAGCTGTTTCCATTCCAACGTGAGCAATCCAACTTTTCCTCGTCACGGTCTCATTAGCTAAGGACCCGCCAAATGCACGTACCTTAGCGCCTTTGAGGTTAGGTAGACCTTAACACTACTGTAGTATGGAAGAAAGAAAATAACCAAGCCTCTGTGGGTCTCTGTGGGCCACTTGTCGACCTCATGTCTCCCAGCCAGTTTCAGAACGTCTGTCGGCCCTATTGGCGGATGGCTTGTGAAAGTACACCATAGCAGTGGAGGATGGGAATCTCATGGCGTACTCACACTTAGTCTAGTACTATTTTGAAAGTATCTGACCACATTTGAGATCCGACCGGCAATTGCGTCCAGAGATAAGCAACAAGCCCTGTGGTGTTAATACGCCGTGAAAGGGGGGGGGCGAATCAATTTCTGCACTGCAGTGGCGTCACTGGCGTGCGTCACGCGCCATCCGCTTCGGGTCGGAGTCACTGCCTGGCGTGTGGCTGAGTCCCTCTAGCGGCAGTGTACTTGAACCCAAGTCTACAGTCTTCCCCGGAATAAAACGCACAGGGTGTGTTGTATTAGGGTGTGTTGTATTCGTATACACACCTGCGTTATGCTTCGAATATAGGGTATCAACGTCCGAAAATGCTCCTCCAGCCCCCCGCCCAAAAAAAAAAAGTATGTGCCTCTCCAGTCTTCCGTATCTCCAGTCTTCCCGCAAACAGGACCTTCAGGTAAGACACAGACACACACACACACACACACACACACA